AACTCCTGAATACTATATTCAATTATCTCAGCAATGTATGAAGAAATGATCTAATGATTATTACATTTATAAAATAATTGATTTGTACAGTGCTTTTGAAGCTGAGTTTGTTAAAATTGTTTAACTGTTTCTTCATACAATTGAATCAACCAGCTAATCTAATAAATGTTTATTTTTACTAATTAATTTGGGTCATCTGACTATTTCCTGCTAAATAAATTTTTTCACTTTCTAGTTATACAACTTTTATAACACAAAAATAAGAAACCATGTCTGATCATACCTCTTTTCTGTCAGTTGAAGAAGTTAGTGAATAGAGCCCAGATAAAGTTGTTTCTTTTCTGAAGTATTATAATGAAGAAAAAAAGTTATTTCTCAGAGATGAAGACATTAAAATAGTTGAAGATAACTAAGTTCCTGGATCTGCTTTCCTTGAGTTGAATGTGAATAAACTTATACAAGATGGTTTAAAAAGGGGTCTAGCAGAAGTTATAGACAAGTTAGTTAAAAAAATCAAGGGCGAGGATCAGAGTAAGTAATACCACAATTGCATTCAAATATTCCAAACCTATACTGCAATAATTTCATTTATTGTACTATTAATACTTAATATTGTTTTAAAATTTTTAATGTTTTGTTCACAAGATTCTGCTTTTATTCTGTATACATTCTGGAAATTAAAAATCTCTAATGCTTTTCCAAATGGTATAAAAAATTTTTAATTTTATTTTTGTATTATAATTAACCAACCTTCTATTGTCCTACTAGGCTTGCCATATAAGAAACTAATACCCTTGCTTTATAGTAGTGGTTTGTGATAGAATTATCAACTGGACCAGTCATTGTGTAAAACTTTGCAAACTGAACTCTTAAGGCATTACCAATATCATAAGAACGAGGAACGAGACAAAAACTATATTCTAATTTATTTGTTCATCTCTGGTCCTAGCATTGGAAAGTCCTGAAATGCTACTGAATTCTATCATACAACAGTTGAATTTGCATCTCAAGACTCTGAACTAAAAAGTCATCTTGAAAATGCTTAGGTATTCAATATTAGCTATGAAAACAGTAATAGTTTAAAAATATCTGAACAAGACGCATATCTGGCTATTAGTACCAGAATGCTTTTGCAACTTTTTTCTAGTAAAAGAATATTAGACGATATTATTGGGAATTATAAGCCACCATCTCCATGGGATATCTTGGCCTTAATTGCTAAGTATGAGAACAAGAAATTAGAAGATGCTATAGTTATATTAGTCATTAATAGGCTACATAATACTATGAGCGATAGAAATGATAGACTTAATAAAAACTCTTTGTTTTACAAAACTTTGACCAATATTGGAGATCTTTCATTGTGGAAAACTTTTGTGATTTCCTGTTGTACAGCAATGACTGCTGGACCCATCGAAAATTTTATTGCAGAATCATCAAGAAAACGTGTATTTCTACTAGTATCTTCATTAAAACCTCCAACTATTACTTATGATAGTATTATAAAAGATGTTTTTAATATAGGTAATCCTATCATAAGGCTTCTTGTTAGCGACTATAGTAGTCATAGGCGGGCGCTTGAAATTTTGCAAGATTCTTTGTCATAGAATGACATTAATAATTTCAATATCAGTGATCTTATGAGATCTTTCCATAATACACTCGAAAATCTATATAAAAAAGCTTTTTCATATACTTCTGATGAAGCTAAGCAAATAGTATGGGCAGTGTTAACTCACAAGCTCTTGGATCTATATAAGCCTATCAAATCAACTTTGACATCTGATAAAGTCACTCACACTAGAATGTTTCATTTTGAAAAAATCAGCAATTCTGATTATAGATTTCTCACCATGCTATATGTATGGCTTTAGATAATGATAGGGTAGTTTGCTAACAGAAATGATCCTCAGCTTCAACACTAGCAGTTCGATGACTATAAAGAACACTTATCAAAGAATGATAAATCTCTGGCAACAAGGTATTGTTCTTAGCAGAACTTTGAATATTTTAATGCTTCTTTTCATTGCTTAAAGTCTAGACTGTTAAACGAAGAAGAAATAATATTTATCTCAGAAATTTATTATAGTGCAAACTTGAATGGTGATATCCATTTCAAAAACTATCATCTATAGTTAGATACTGCTAGCCAGCAAGTAGATATACGTTTAACCAGAAGCAACTCTGAATAGTAGTATATTAAGTATGAACACGGTACAATTGATGTCTAGAAATGTATGCATTGCATCATCAATGGAGTATCTGCACTATATGGCGATGTCTTTCTTGGGTTAGATACAC